TCTAATGCACCATCCGCATCATCACGCAACATCCGTCCAGGCGGCGGCCCACCACCCGCACGCGGGGATGAGCATGCACTGAGCCCGGTGGGGCCCGGAACCGGTGCCTGCAGTTCCGCTGCCGCAACGGCCCTGGGCTCCCCCCTATCCTACCCCCTCAACCTAAACCTCGTTCAGAATCACGCGACCATCGCCCACCATCACGCCACCGCCCATCACCAACACCAGAATCACCATCACCATCACCACCACCACCATCACCACCAACAGCAACAACAGCACTCACGTCAAAGCAACTCCTATTCCGTGCAACAAAATCCTGGCACGCCGGGGACCGCGCAGACTCCCTCACCCTCGTCCCCCGCGCCTGTACATAGTCTCTAGGTTGACGCTTCGCCTCTTTCGTACCCTCTCCACCTCTCGACCTACACCTGGTAGTACCGACGAAATTGTGCTTTCGAATCTTCGGTTTCACCTAATCGACCATAGAACCCCCCTTACCTCGAACAGCCTCGACTGTTAACGTTTTACCTGCCGGCCTGTTTCGATTCGAATGACCGCAATTGTTCTTAGAGTTCGATAACTTTTTTTACGTCTAATGCAGTAACAGATTGAGTCCCGAACGAAATTTCCACGACTTTCCATTCGCGCCGAAATCCTCACAGCTTCTTTATTTAGCTTGTTTTCGACGTTTACAGAAATCGATATACGAAAACTAAAAGCATTCGATACATCGATCAACTTATTCCCGATGTGTCTAGTATTCCTAATGACGTTCGGAAGTTTGCAGGAATTAAGATCTATCAATGTTAAGCGTTTTAATCGCGGCTCGAACGGAAAGAATGACATCGGTGTTCGTCACGGCACTCAACCTGTTAATCTGAGCGAGAGTCAACTTGCGCTCCCTATAGGTACATCAAAACCCTTGATTATTCCCTTAAATTGAGTACTATAAATTGACAGTTGAGATTCCCGACTGTTACCAGCGAAATTAAAGAGACACTGTTAATCGACTCCTGGCAGGTAAGCTGTTAAACGTTTTTAGAATTGAACATTACATCCTGACTATCGTGTCCTGTCGGAATGTCCATCCTAACAACTAACGTTTTGAGGGATTCCAATTAGGGATGTTCAATTCTTCCATAAAGATTGATTCCCGAATCGATTTTGGAATCGATTTTTCTTAATGACTGGAGTCGATCTTTTAAAAAATCGACTACAAAATTGATCTGTCGAAATAGATTCAAAGATTCGTTTTCCTTTAAGCTATACAGGGTTTCCAACTTAAACGCCACTGATAATAGGATATGACAATTTTTTTTATGCTAAGGTAAGTGGACCTACTTTTGACACTAACTCAGTCATCGACACTTTCAATTTAATACGATGGTATGGTTATTAACGTAAATTCAATCGTTGCTCGGTGTAAAATAAATATGGTAAACAAAGTCGTTGAATAAGACAGAATTAAGTACAGGTATTCATTGAAAAAATCGAAAATCTCGAGAAAGTGGACTCTTCTGAAAATTATTTAGAATTGAACATCCCAAATTGAAACCATTCAAGTATCCGAATCAGTCGATGGCTGCCAACCCTTTCCTCGCCGACTCCTTACCCCTCGATCCTTCGTCCTCCGTTCGTCGGCAGTTCGAGCCTTTCCCAGCACCCGATACTACCGACTTTCTTACTTGTAAATACTATACATAGCGCGTGAGAAAGATTATTATATTAATTAAGCGGTGTAATGTTGTAAAAAATTCTATATAAACGCACTGTCGCGCTGTACCATACACTGACACGTAGGACACACGCAACAAATGCATATATTACGAAAAGGCGCGCGTAAATCATTGTCGTTCTCGCGTTCGTCTCCTCTCAACCCCGATTCTCAGGCAGAGATGGGCAAAGTCGTCATCTAAATAAAAATCCCAACCTTCGAACGAAAGATATACGATTTTCATCTATTGTTCGTCGAATAAAAATAATTCGAGTTATTCCCGTTCGACAAATAGGGAATTACCATATTTATTCGACGGACAACGAATAAATACGTTTGTCCCAAGTGAATTTATTCAACGAATAAGGGTACTGTTTCGTTCGACGAACAGTTTGTCTTCTGTATCGAACAAAGTCGTTAAATAAAAGATGGTTTTCATTCGTGTTTATTCGAAGTTCATTTAAAACCTTCGAATGAACTTCGAATAACGATATGTATAAAGATGGAAACCGCCAAAAGACTAACTGTGTATCGAATACAAAAAAGTATCTCTGCTCGTCGAATGAAGATATCTGTTCGAAGTTCATATTTTTCTTTGAATATGGTTCTCACGTATATAAATGTTTCCATCGATGTTTATTCGAGGGTTTCGAAAAAACTTAAAGTTTGATGGAAATTTTATCCGAACCATTCGTCGAATAAGGACAACTGCTGTTATTCGAACCCTTCGAATAACGGATGAGGGTGAAGTGTCTTTGTTCGATTTTTTTTTTTTTTCATTTAAATAATTTCTTTTTATTCAGATGACGCCCATCTCTGTTCTCGGTGGACGCGACGAGGAGACCCGACGAATAAACGCGCGACGTCCGCGTACGATCATTCGATCCAGGGATAGAGACGTTCTCCGAGGCAGGTTCCAAACATCGATCGCGACGGGAGAACGCGTGTCGGATTTCTCATTGTCGCGATTATTGAAATATTATTTCCCTCCCTCCCCACTCCCCTGAAGCCGCGATCGCGTTTGGAACTTGGTATTCGGATCACATCCCGTTATCGGGCGACAACCTTCTTCGACCTTAATATCACGATATTATGAATTAATTAATTAATTAATTAATTATTATTATTATTATTATTATTAATTATTATTATTAATTATTAATAATTATTATTGATGTATTATTATAAAGATTATAAATTCATTTTGAAAGAGATAAAGAGGAAATAAACGATGCTTTTGTGAGTAACGATTGTGCCTGGATGATGATTCCCTTCGTGATCGTGTTCTCCACTAAACATCTATCATCCCCTAGCTCGGCCCTTGCTCCTGCTGCTGCTACCACGGAGTCCCGCGACGCCGCCCCCTGGAAAGACGCCCTCGGCACCAGAACGTTTCCCCCCTCGTACCCGAAAATAGCGGAAGGACCATCCACTCGATACGAACGAGACCGCGACCGACGCTAAAGTAAGTTCACACTATTGGCATTTTCCATCCCTGTTATCCCTCGTACAATGTTTCCCAAACAGCTATTCCGACCGCTGGTATGTCCATTATTTTCGTCATTCTCCGTCCCGTGATTCTCGATCTCATCAAGTAGGAATTCTCGAACCGAGTATTCTCTATCCATGAAATTTGCTTGAACAAGTCAACGCCAGAACAGAGATCTGTATCATCTGTCGTCTTCCATTTCCAACCATAAACTACACGAGGGACTTTTCTTATATGCTCCGAGAATTTCAGCTAGAAAGAAATTGCAAGAAAAAAAATTTCACGAATTTCAATCTTTTCCTTGATTCAAATAAATTACGAATTGATGAAATGAGAAATACAGAAATGTTCGGAAGCGCACGATTCAAGAGCTACCACAATGATGCACATAACCTGAGATTTAAATACCTTCCATTTAATCATTCGTTGGAAAGTAACAAAGAAAGAATGAAAAGTATCGGGAAGGAACTTTAATAATCTATGTAATAAAAGCACGGCTGGGAGTCGATATCGTCTCAAAGTGGTCGTCAAATCGCCCCAGCCCTCGGAGGCTAATTTCCCGTGGGTTACACGCGCGATTTTTACATTAAAATTGTTAGCCAGCACTTTCTCCCTTTGTCGGTTCGCGAACGCGGACGTCGGAGGTTCCCTTTTTTTTCTCTCTCGTGGCGATCTCCTTACCTTGATTAACCCGAAAAGAGTTTTTATCTACTCGACGATATATATTCCTGTTGGCCTATTTCTGCCCGGTCCCAAGAACGCCACGTATACGAGCACTCGACGTTATTACCAAGGATGACTCGACTCGTTCGAACCCTGGCCCAGCCTTCCGACGCTAATGCCTAAATAATGACGTATATACGCGACATGCAGCTTCATAAGCTTCGATAAATTTAATTACCCCTGGTTCCCGGCGCGTCCGCGTAATTTTCTTTTAATCGTGCGCCATCAAGGCGCAGAGCAGCGCACGTGCGTTCACCGAATCAAATTATTTTGAAAGCGGACTCGCGACAAAAAACCAGGAATGTTTATTCGTCCAGCATTTGGAACACGGCAATTATTTCGAAAGCGCTCGAAACCGGGAAAATTGAGCGTCTGACAACGACTGACCGTGACTACTGATGGGACTGTTGCCGTGATATTTCACCAGATCGTTAACACATTCGCGACCGCTCGCGTGCATTCACGTCACTCGAAATTCTATTTCTGGTTCTTTTTATTTCATACGCTATGTATTCACAACATTGACATTTCAAAATTATATTTTGTCATTTTTATCTTTCCATTGACTATACAACATTTGCGTATGGCCAGCTTCGGAATTTTATTAATTTCGTCGGTACTCGGTATCACGAACGTAAAATACCTGCCGTTTTATTTTATTTCTCAGGTATTAACGTTATTTTACTTACTTTTAATTTTTATTTTAGATATTTTTCCTAGGATGAACTAACGACTTTAACATATCTTTACATCCTGGAAGAACGTAATTTGTTAATATTAAGCTCATTTATTTTCTTTACAAGTGACTTCGTTTCGTAAAATTATAATATCAAATTTTTGTTCCACGTATTTTGTTTCGAGGTATTAAAGTTGATCGTATTAAAAGGAACGTCTTACATTTCGACACATCCTGTTAAGTACTTTGGTACCTAATTGCTCGAGTATTATTAATATGGACGGATTGAATCCACATCGTCAACCTTAACCGACCCGTGAACGATCCCCGTCCGCTCTAAATCGGATCAATATGGCAGAGATTACGGAATGAGATCGTTATGCAAAGCAGCAGTCGGAGGGTCCTGAAACGTCGCGACGCGACGATTCGCGGGGGTGCGGTTAATGTCGAGCAGCGTACAAGCACGGGGGATGACTTTCTCGGTGATTTAACCAAGGAGGGTGAACGTTTGTTATTCAATTTGCGACCCCCTCGGTACCAGCCACTGTTCACCCTCTCCACCCACAGATCATCCACGCCTTTACGACCGTCGCAGTACTCTTCCAACTCGACAACCATTTCTCCTCCATTAGGATATACCAATCGTCGTTTATGCTGGGTGGGACATTCGAAGAAGACCTAAATATCTACTATATTTATACATGAAAAAAACGTCTTAAGACAAATTTTTACTATTTTCAGAGGCACATGTAACGATAGAAACATTGTTTCCTCAAAGTTTCCTCAAATTGATGAATTCAATCTCCAATTATTTTATTCTGTACATATAGATTAAAACGACAAATTCATTTGCATTTCACTTCTAAAAGTAGAGAACGTTCACCTCGATTATATTAACCTTGCAAACAAAATTTTCTATCATCAGACATGCTCCTCAAAATAGTGTAACTTTCTCTCAAAAAGATTTTCCGCATTACCACGAATAACGAAAATCATTAAACGCTCCACCCCGTTGGACATCCTCCTGCATATTCGTAATTTCAATCCTTTCTTCCCACTTCCTCCTGCCAAGTACGTTGATTACTCGTACTGTGCGTTTAGGAGAATATGTTCGGTACGTAAACTAGAGCTGCCAGTACACGTCGAATTTCCGGCCCAGAGGAACCGACCTTAGAATTCGGTGCATCGTTCAGAGGTAAATTAAAGAATGTATGTAAATGTCTGTGTTTTAAAAAGACCGAGTTACAGTGATCGATAATTTATTTAATTTTTATTCAAAAAGATTCAAAGCCAAAGCAATCGAACAGTATACTTCGGTTATTAATCGATTCTTCTTTCTGTCGTAGGATAAGGATGGCCACGCACTCCCAGGAATTGTAATTTCATGATTAAATAAAATTGCAAACCGTTGAGGTCAAGATAATGTCAAATAGTAAATGCCCATATTAAACGTTAATGTTGCAGTTATTCTAATATTTACATTGTATGTTGAATTCAGCAAAATAAAATACGCAAAACATGGAGAACACATAGTTTTACAGTGTTTGAAAAATCCTTCAACCTCCATCGATCATTCTAATTGTATATTAAGAAATAAATTCCAAGTATGTATCGTGATTGGTTCAAGACTATAAATTATAATTTTAATTAGATTGTTGTCTCATGTTTCACGTCAAAGTTACACAAGTATACCTAAATAACAGTTTAAATAAATAAACAAGACTTGCTGTAGGGTGTTGGTATTCGTCATCCATTATTCGAATGAAATCCTGCCTCTCTCAGGATCAGAGTCATTAAATTCATCTGTTCTTTATATCGTTGAACCTTTCACCATGGCAAAGACAAGGGTGTGCTTGACAAAGAATCACTGCGCGATTAATTTCACGACCTTGCACCCTTTCACGGTTTCGATTGAAACGAGCATATTTTCTGCTGGTGTTTATGAAGCTTGAAATCTAAATACCAATTACCAATCTAGACTCATCGGAGCCTGTAGCTAATTACTTTGAGGAGGATTTATCCTTCTGTTATTCTTTACGTTAAATGTTTAAGAATGTAGGCACTCACACTTGGAAAATTGAGCAGAAAAATCCAGATGGAAACATTATTAGTCGAATAAAAGTAGGGAGTACGAAATTACTCCAATTTTCACGAACACATAAACGTGTTTCCACGTTTCTAAATAGAAATTAAATAAAAATCAACAACGAAAGGTCTCCTTCCATCTAAAAGTAGAAGTTTCGTGACGGATTCGCTCTTTTTTTTTTATAAATTATGATTGATTTAACGAAACCAATCTTTGGCTAAACTTGACAGTGAACTCGTTTCCTGAAGACACAAATGAAAAATAAAATGATTAAAGAAAGAAAGAAGTGCGAGAGAAGTTCGTAGAAGAAACGTGGCTATCGCTTTGAAATTCCACACTGTCCCTGACGTCGACGGCAGCCAGAGAAGGTGATCCGGACAAATGGTCGGAGGGCTCGCAATAAGTATCTTCAGCGGACCTTCCAGGTCCGTTAACAAACCTCATGAAACTAACGACTCGGCCTGGTTCTGGTTTGGGAACACCACGGTCTCATATATACAAAAGCGAGCCCGCTTGCTTCCCCCTTCATCCTTCGGTGAAGCGAAAAAGGGAAGCAACGTGTCCTGCGACTCATCGCGACGAATACTTCCAGCCTCGATTAAAATAAACCGTTTTAGTCGACTGAGATTTTTAACGTTAGACTTCCGGAGTGTAATCATTGTGATCCGATTACGCAATGAATTAGACGTATACACTCGAATATAGAAGTATATGTAGTCTCTGACGTACTTTTTATCTGGAACTATTTCTTGATATGCATGAATATTAATTTTACTGCAATTTATCTATCTTGTCGAGTATACAAAAAAAATATTTTATTCCTTATTAGACATGTGTCCTGATCGTGATTTAGTTAAACATGTTTCAATTGAAATATATGTTTAATGGATGAAATTATGAATGATATTTATTATTTAATCACCTAACTTAGAATACATATATATATATATATATATAGCAGTTATGATAATTATTAATTGATACATATTACATATAACACCGTTCTATTAATTTGATACATAACCCTTGCAATCCTCACCCTTCGAAGCATAACAATACTACTTAGGCCAATATCTTCGGCACGAAACTAGAGCAAGTATCTCACGATCGCTTATCCAGCATTTTTTCGAATTCACAACTCGAACCAGGATGGGATTTCTCACCCAAAAATTGTCTCGCGCTTCGCTGGCAACGAGTCGTAATCCACGACCCGTCCGTCTCGGACCTCGGCTGCCAGATCCCCCAGGCATTATCGACCGACTTGCGCGAGTACCTGCAAATCTGCGTCGAAACGGAAATCCTGACCGGTAATCTCGGTGGCGCGTAACGAGCGAACAGATTAGGCTGCTCGTAGGATCCCAACGATGTACCTAATAAAGGAGGCTAACGAGACCGTGGGGCATGTGGTTAACGACGATCTATCCAGACCACGGCCCTCGTCTACGAGACACATGCGTGGAACCGTTTCGGTGCACGTTCTAGGTGTCTGGTTGGATCGTACACGAATCCAACTTACGTATACACACGTGCAGGTCCACCGAAAGGCACGCGAGTCTTGTTACCAAAGTGCCGCAACCCGGGAAAAGACCTCGACTCGGTGGAAAGGCATCGGTATCTTTTCGAGTTCCTGAGCACGTCGAACGGACAGATTAGGACTGGCTTTCGACTCTCGAGTGGATGACCCTCGAAAGTCGCTCTCGGGCCTCGCGTAAATTAGCAGCAAATTAGTGGCGCTGTGAGAGGGAGCGTATACAGGAAGTATACAATTCTTGAAAAATCGAGTCAAGGAGAACCCTTGATATTGACTATCCTAAACATGAAATGAAACTGCGCAATCATTCACTGCACAAATTATAATCTTAAGATGTAAGATCTCCACTTGCACCCCACCATTACACTACGCGCACATTTTACGAACAAGTCTGATACAAAGATTTGATAATAATAACTTTGGTAATACTACGACTTTTGTTCTACCTCCCAACGAAGTGTGTGGTAGGTCTACACACGCTCAAGATGAACACATGGTGGCAAACAGCCCCTTCTGTTTAGTTACACGCGAAAATCGACCGAAAGGCCGTAGGGGTTGTCGGGGCTCGAGTATCGGAACGAATGATATTTATTGACCGGGCAAATCCGAAGTCTACTCAAATCCCAAGGGTGGTCCTTGCGACCGTGCCCCTCTATAAATAATGCCGATGGAGTGGTCATAAAGTGAAAATAGTAGGACGTTTCTACGTGGTGGAAAACCGCGGGGAAAATGTAAACGTATCGGGATGACCCATGATTTTTTTACAACCGTGAAAACATTTTCCTCGAATGCACCCCCGCGCCGAGAAATGGTTACCCAGTTTTGATTTAGAACCCGAGAATTTTCACGTTTCTGGAAGAAAGATGATACGAAGAGCCGCGAGAATGTGGCTCGATCCCTTTGGTTTCCCATGAATCGGATCCCCGACTGTTCGCTCTGAATGAAGCTAAGGTGAGCTATTAGTGTCGTGCCCGGCGAGATGAATGAATAGGTTGCCCTCTTTCGATCGTTGCGAGTCGCACAGGTTGCGCCCTGCTGTGAGTGGTCCCGATTCCTGCAGGTTGCTGCACGAATCGACCTATCGACATTCGATACTAATTGCCCGTCTCTCCTCGGTGATCGCCTTTATTCGTCGAGCAGGGGTAGTCGAGTCTTCGGAGAGACCATTGGCCTTTCTTTAACCCTTTGCACACGACGACAGTTTCATTACAGAGAGTTAACAATTTACGCGACTAAACCTTTCTTCTACCACGATTAGAAAGTCGTTGAAATAAAGTATCTTACTACTACTTCAAAGCGTACTAGTTTACAAGTCGAACAGTTCGAGATTCAACGGAATCTAAGATAAACGAAAGCTCGAGTGCAAAGGGTTAATCTTACAATATGCGGTAAGTTCACGTAGTTTATTTCTCGTGCTCGTGAATATTTTGACGTTTGCATTTAAAAATACGCCCGGTATGAATTAACGTTTCTATTGACAAAAATATTGTGAAGACTGAAAATGTATTACAATAATAATATAAGTACACGTAAACTGAATGTTTCGATAAAACAGAGTCTAAAAAATCTTAGAAACTGTTCGTTTAAGAATTCTAAATTTGTCAACTTCCTCAATGTTCTCTTTCTCCCCTTCTCTCTGTTTCTGTCTTGGATATACCCGATCACTGGATTTTGCCCCGCAAGTGTTACCTAGCATGTTCGCTCGGATCATGATTATTATATGAAGTACGAAGTCTGCTTGAACGAGTGTCACTTACAGACTGCGCAAGAAGCAGAAGGGGTTAGGTTACACGAAAGGGCTGAACCAAAAAGCCTATTAAGCTCGCACCAATGAATGTGTCGCTCTGGTAGATTCCGTCGAGTACGTGAGTGCTTGGTAATCATTGGTTACGGGTATAGCATTCGACGATGAATCATATGGTTTTTTCACCTTGGGAAATAATTTAGTCCCTAACTCGGTTGAAAGCAAATGTTTAGTAAGTCAATTCTAACCTTCGTATATCGCTAATATAAAATATTATGTAGCAAAACACTGCTTAGTATTTAAATTCATCCACGCGCTTTCAGACCTTTTTAATTCCGTAGTAAACTGCGTGCAATTTCACATCTAAATATTCTCGTCAACTTCAGATATTAAACATCCGTTTTGTTTCCAATCACACTCTATCGCAAGAGATCACTTCGATACCTGCGTTTGCGTGGGTCGTCTTTATTATCGGGTAAACTGAAAACTTTTCTAAAACTGTTTTAGAAGCGTTAGACACGTAAGTACTTCTCTCATGCAAATACTAGAATATTATAACAGTTATTAGAAATCTTGGACACGTACTTCTCTTATCCAGGAAGTAGAATATTACATAAGTGTTTACGAAGAGTTGGCAACTTCACACATGAGGTTCAAAGTGTTGATAGAGAATAGCTGAGTGAAATCGGTTGCGCCAACTCGTTGTATACTTATACTTTTTTTTTTTCTCTATTTCCCTATTCCAATGGTCGGCAACCTATAACCAGGAGGTCAAGCAGGTGACGGTGCCATAAACAGCTGACGCATCAAGTTTATCGGTATATTCTTCCGACGATAGACCATCGTGGAAAACATCGAATGAAAATTTTGTTGAAAATCTGTACGTCAGGAACCGGAAACGATTTCCATATGAACCGTTCACTGCACAAATCGATTAACTCCACTTTTTGAAAAATCTTAAATTTAAGCGTCGAAGCACTTGGTATAGTACCTTCTTCGATTTATAACAACTTTCCTGAATAATAAAAATTATTACATCGCGTTATTATTATTTGTACATGATTTCATCGCTATTTCTCAACTATCTGTTTCACGGAGTTGATCGATTCGTCCAATGAACGGCTCATATAGGATTTCAGTTTCGAAAACCACTGTCCC